GAGAGAAAGAGAGAGAGAGAGAGAGAGAGAGAGAGAGAGAGAGAGAGAGAGAGAGAGAGATGTACGAAGTCAAGCGAGCGTGCAAACAATCCGATTGGTAGAGGAGGGCGGGGGGTTGCACGCCAGCGTGTAGTACCGTAAGGGTGTAAGAGAACGCGTGGGGGTGCGATAGACGGTTCAATGATTTCATTCTTTCTCTATTTTATAACGCACTGGGGTGCGGTATGTATCATCGATCTCCGTTAGATAATCGAAATAAATCATTTCGTTCTTGAGTTTTGATCACAAGGGGGTGCGATATACACCGGAATGTGCGATATCACCGAACCATGAGTTCTCTCGATTCCGTACGGCAAACGAAAGAGGCGCGTGGGCGAAGTGAGACTGCTGTTCTTCCCGAAGAAAGTAACTGCTGTGCTTCCCGAAGAAAAGAGTAGTAAGAATCAAAGGCGCTATATACGACGATACGTTATTGAAATTGTAGATCTTATCGAGGTTGCCATTCTTGAGGCCTGAAGCGATCTATCTCGGTTTCATGTGGGTACTGAGTTGGAAGACCAGTCGCTAGTGATTGTGCGGTATGGCAATATCCAGGGAAAGTTCAAACTTGGCACATGGCTCACATTCGAAGTACTGCTGTCTATCATACGAATTCGCTACATTCCTCTACATGCAGTCCTCGTGCGATCGATTTTGCCGCTCAGGGGACGGATGTTGGATTTTGGTTCAGCGAGGTGTTGAACGGAGTCAGGCGAGGCAATGTTGCACACGGAAACTGGCGCTATTGCCCTGCTTGTTTGTGAGACACACGCCCGACATTCGTGCACGAGCCTGCATCCGCGCACCTACACGTAGACTAAGTCGACTACATTTATTTGAACTGCGGAACTGCCTTACACACGCCACATGCGGTCATGGGATCACGATGCACGTTCAAGAAAAATCCAATGTACTGCACTAGCCTTGTCATGACGTATTGCATTTGCGTCGACGTGCGTCATGCCCCGCGTTTTGAATCCCCCTGTGTGGAGCGTTAGGAACCACTGAAGCTTTTCGAGATGCTGTTGCCTTGGGTGTGCTGTGTGCTGCCGTACACCTGTACTGCTGCTGTACAGCACATGCGAGCAAGGTCGAAATAATCAACCGAGAATAAATCGGGCAACGGTCAAAATCCCAATTCGGCCCTCCCTCTTACACAAACTTGTCTTTCACTCACAGTCCCTTTCTCACACCTAAGATTCTCCATCCTCCCCGGCGTGCTTGGAGGCTCCAGCGCGGTGAAGGCCGGGGCACGGGAGCCATCCACCGTTGCTGCTGTCCTCGCTGCTGCAGTCCATGATGATGATGATGTTGTGTTCTCCTTGTTGCTTGTAGATCCTGCGCCGGTGGTGTGCGTCGGCCGATCCCGCTTGGTCTTGCCGCTGGCAGTAGCGTTGCTCACCGGCGTCCTGGCGCCTCGGACCGGTGAGGATAGCGCCGCCAGCAGGGAAGCATTCATAGTGATCAGACTCAACGCGCGACCTACTCGCTGTTGGTGTTTGCTCTGGACAGCGAGCCTGCAGCGAGACACACAGATAAGAGTATGAGGGAGGGGTGCGTAGAAAATAATCAAAATTTGGTAGGGGATGGGGACTGGAGTATGTATCGGGGTGGGCAGCTAGCCAGTGTAATTCATATTGTACTCGTCGCTCGGCCGACAGGGTAGGCAGGATGGAGGAGGCGGATATGAGGCTGATGTCGCAGCTGTTGCTGAAGCTCTCGCAGAGAGATCTAGCAGGTATGAGAAGTGAAGCATTCACAATCAAACGGACACAGAGGGAGTTGTTAGTGTCACTGCTGTTGTTGTAGCCAGGTCCATCTCGATACCTGTCACGCAGCCAGCAGCAATTATAGTAGAGACCGTGCGTAAGTTTGCATCGTGCTCTGTAGGAAAAGCCACAGCTTGTCTGCTGGGTTGCTGCTAGGCTTTTACTGCCACGACCCCCGTAATTTCTGCGACATGCCGAAGGTTGGCGATGGGAGTGGGAGGTTTGGATCCATCTCGTCAGTACGTACGGAGACTACTTTACCACAGCAGTCTACAAGTGATCGTCGTGATGAAGGTACTGGTGTAGCGTTGTTTGTATGTACTGGATTTCGTTTAGGTGGCCCATGACCCTACACCCCGCCCCAACAATATCCGGGAAATGCTGACTTCAATCGACAGCTGAGTATTCGAGCGGTCGCACTTTCGTCTGTTGTGGTGCAGCTGCGGTACAGCAGTGTAGTGCGGCGCCGTTCTTTCTGGTTCCGGGAGTCCTTTGTTGTAGCCAACCTGCAATTGCTACTCCTGCGTACCACTACCGTATTCTACACAAGATACCACACCCCGGTGATAACATTTTGTGCTTCAAAAGTATTATCACCGGGTGTGATATTGTGGGGGGGGTGTGGTATCTTGTGTACCCCGGTGATAAAGCCTAGCTCGCAGGAGCTCCTCAGGGGGTGTGATAAACCAGGGGGTGTGGTAGCACATGCGACCACCCACAGGGAGGGTTTGGGAGTGGGATAAAAAAGGGGGTGTGATAAAATGGGGTGTGATAACACGTCGGAACACCCAAAGAGTGTGTTCGGGTGTGTGATAAACAGGGGGTGTGCCGCTTGCGTAGAAGTCTGCTCGGGTTGAAAGAACGAGGTGATCTGTGGCGCCTGTGCTGCTGCGGTCGAAGCAGTCGTGGGAGAAGCAGATGTACTTGCGGCGGCATTCTGCTCTTCCCGCACGTTCATGTTCTCTGAGGTCTCCATGTCTCCCCCCGTACGGTACAAGCTGTGCGTGTGTGATGCTGTTTCACCCCCGGTGATAGAGACAGGGAATGTATGCGGCGTAACCTGTGTTATCACCGGGGTGTGGTATCTTGTGTACCCCCGGTGATAAATCATGGTCTGAAAAATACACCCAAAATTACCACCGGGGTGTGGTATTGTGGGGGGGGTGTGGTATCTTATGAGGGTGTGGTATCTTGTGTAGAATATGGTATTAACGCATACGGAGTGCTGACAACAACGATTCGCATCAACAACATCGCATCAACAACATTTCGGGTGTGTGTACCAAAACAAAAGCAACACATATTCACGGGGGGCGCACGACCCAGCCTACTGCAGGTACTTTCCGCAGCACGGGTTATGCTGTTGTGATGGTGCGCGCGGAAAAAACTCCCCCCACTCGGGGTCTAGTAGATGCAGGGTATGCAGCTGCTCCGTGCCCCAGCAGCGTTTTTGAGCAGTCGAGAGAGGCTGTGGATGAAATCGAGCACAAAGAGAGGCAGAGAGAGATACGTGCAGCAACTATTCCAGTGGTGTGATGACGATGCCTTATGTAACGTGTGCGCCTATGTTGTGTGGTTGTACCTGTTGATGCCCATGGGTGGAGGAGAGGGTAGATCGACGATGCTCTGCGGTTCCTAACGGGAGCACAGACACACAGGTAGCTGCTAGGAACTGCTGCTGTAGTATTACACAACTTTTGGTGCTGGCTGGCAAGCCGTGGTGGTGCTTGGTAGTAACGGTCTCTAGTAGTAGTAGTAGTGATGATGCAGCCCAGCAGCATGCTCTTGTGTATTTGTATGGGTTGCCTGCTGTGTTGCTAATTACTACTGCTGTGCCGCGTGCGTCGAGGGTGTAGTGCCGTGTTGTGCTTTGGGCGCCTTCTGCGCTAGAGTTGTTGTTGTTGTTGTTGTTTCTCACATTAGCTCTATAGTCCACAAAAAATGGGGAGCCCGTGGTCTCAAAACCCGGCACATACGACGCCGCGAGAAAACAAAAAACAAAAATAGGATACAAACCACTCGGAAAAAGAAAACAAAATGATCGAAAGAAAGAAAAGAACAGGTATCGCACCTACTGTTCGAGAAAAGAGCCCTCGGACACCGATCAAAATAAAACAAAACATAAATAACAAAAAAAATAAAGGAGGACGCTTCCCACACCCGCCGAAATAAAAAATGAAAGGGTAACGTAACGTACCAGCACCAGGCACTGCGCACCAGGGCATGGGAGTAACGGAGCAAACAGGGCAAAGAGGCGGCAGATGGGCAGACAGCCAG